AGTTTTTCAACCAAAGAGTTAGTGGGAATCTGTTTCTCTCTCTCTCCCTCCCACAAAAGGCTGTGGATTATGGCTGGATCCATTCACATTGTCCAGATTGAGGTGGAGAGATGTTTGTGAGGTCAGGGTATCAAGGGATATGGGACATGGACGGGTAATTGGAGTTGAGGTACAGGTCAGCCATGATCTTATAGAGTGACGGAACAGGCTCGAGGGGCTGAATGGCCTCTTGTTTTTATGTTTCTTCATGGGGGGGGAACACTGCTTCTTCTCTCTTTGTGCTATTGTTGCAAAAGCCCATCTCCCTGCTCCTTTTCACATTGAAAGATTGATGCACCACAGTTCGTCCAGCAACCTCTCTGAACAGACAACAACAAATTTACACAGCGACTTTCACGTCAGGAGGACATCCCAAGGAGCTGACCATCAGGAGGGGTGGACGGCAGGGAAGGTAGGGGTAGGAGGGTGACCGAAGGCGTGGTCGAAGAGGAGGGTCTTGAGACATGCTCTGAAGGAGGCAAGGGTGTAGGCAAAGGGACTGTGGGATGGAGTTCTAAAAGGTGGAGGCAGAGAGGCTGAAGGCCTGACCGCCAATGGGGCAGACAGTGTGGAGGACATGGGCAGGCTGGAGACCGCTGAACAGACAGCTTGCAACATTATAATAATAATACTTGCATTTGATACAGCACCTTATCGCGTCTTCGAGACGTCTCAAAGCGCTTCACAGAATATACTGTAAATTGAATTGGCTGTGTGTTTTGTGGGCGAAACATTGCATGAGACATCATAGGTAGCCTTGTTTGTAGCCTTCTTATCAGTGGAGAATCCTTGTAAACCCCTTTCCCAAAGATTTCCCTTATCGAGCTCTGTCTGCAGAGGATTAAAAATACTGACTAGTGGTAAGGAATCCATTTCGAGAGCATTGGAACAGTTTGGAGAGGCGTTCAGGGGATAATCCACTGGAGCATCCAGCTGTCAATAGTTTATGGCCTCTTTTTTCAATCGCTTTCATTGTGACACTTTTTGTTCAAGAGTCTTAATAGTTTTACATGAAATAGACAGGTTTGCAGTGTGACGTTTCGGTGTTAATAATGAGAATAAAAGGAACCAGGAAGCACTCTTTTTGTTTGCATTGTGTTCCGAGTTCACTGGTATGTGGCGTTTAGGGTTCCACAAAGCCCTTGATGGCTAGCTTGTGGATTCACTGATGTGTGTGAACTTAGCTTGATATGTGTGATGTGGGTAAGGCAGAGAGAGAGAGGTTCGGATTCCTACGGATGGGAGATTTGGAGAGGTCAAATTGGATCTGAGGTGCAGAAGAGCTTTAAACAGAAACCTCTCGCACACATGACCACTACAATGGGAATCCCATTGTAGACCCACACTGCAAAGCATGGGTGGTGACTTTACTGCCCGGCACAGTTTATAATAAATAATAATCCTTGCATTTGATACGGCGCCTTATCATGTCTTTGAGACATCTCTCGTCGCTTCACAGAATATGCTATAAAGTGAATTGACTCTATAATTTGTTGGCGAACGCGGCAGCCAAATGTGCACAGCAGCGTCCCCACAAACAGTCATGGATTGAGTGACCAATTTATTATTATTATTTTTAAGGGATTATTACCTCCAGAAAAGCAATCCACCAATCGACTAACAAGCGGGTTCCTACTTATTGCTAGGTAAAAGAGGCGTGTGGAGTAAAGAAACTTGACCACCGTTTCGCCCTGCCTGGGAAACGAACCTTGCGAGACGAGTGTTCTAACCAATGAGCTACAGGACTGCACTTACAATGTAGGTAGTTTGTGGATAATATGAGTTGCGAGCTTTTCTGTGAGAATTGTTTTCGTAGCACTGGTGGTTTGGTGCCCCTTCTGGTACTTTGTACTGTCAAGTTAACTGGATGTTAAGTTTCTTTTGCGTCAGGACGAAAAGTTGGGCAGGTTTCCTTACTCTACACACAGGCCTCTTATTTACCTAGCAGTTATTAGCAACCCGGTTGCTGGTCGATTGGCGGATCGTTTTTCTGGGGATCGTTTTTCTGGGGATAATAATTCCTTAAAAATAATAATGGAGTCCTGTGGCTCAGTGGTTAGAGCACTCGCTTTGCAAGTGAGAGACCTGAGTTCAATTCCCGACAGAGGGCGAAACCTCGGGCAAGTTTCCTTACTCCACACAGAGCCTAATAATAATCCCTCCAAAACCAAAAACAATAATAAATTGGTCATTTTCAATCTACGACTGTTTGTGGGACATTGCTGTGCGCAATTGGCTGCCGCATTTGCCCACAAATATACAGTCAATTCACTTTACAGTGTACTCTGTGAAGCGCTTTGGGACGTCCTCCCGACGTGAAAAGCGCTATATCAAATGCAAGGATTATTATTATTATTATTATAATAATTTTGGTCAGTCAATCTACGACTGTTTGTGGGACACTGCTGTGCGGAATTGGCTACCGCCTTTCGCCCACAACATATAGAGTCAATTCACTTTACAGTATATTCTGTGAAGCTCTTTAGATGTCTCGAAGACGTGATAAGGCGCTGTATTAAATGCCAGGATTATTATAATTACTTCTAATGTACCATTACGTTGTGGGGCAAGGTAAGGACAGCCACGGTATCTTTACAATGAGTGGAATCAGCTGGAAAGGGTTACTGGGATTGTTTTTTCGCCCTGTAGCTAAGTGACTACCTAGCATTATTATCCACTCAGGTTGTAAAAACACATCGTCTTTGCTCAGCAGACATGGACACTCCTGATTTGTGGAGCCCTGTAGCTCAGTGGTTAGAGTAATCGCCTCACAAGCGGGTTCGATTCCCCGGCAGGGTGAAATATTGGGCAAGTTTCCTTACTCCACGTGCCTCTGTTTACCGTGCAGTAAGTACGAACCCGGTTGTCAGTCGATCGGCGGATTGTTTTTTTCCGGGGGTACTAATTCCTTCAAAAAAAATCATAATAATAATAATTTGGTAACTCAATCCATGACTGTTTGTGGGGACGCTGCTGTGCGCAATTGGCTGCTGCGTTTCGCCCACAAGGTACACATTGTAGTGTATTCCGTGAAGCACTTTGAGATGCCTCAAAGACGTGATAGGGTGTTGTATCAAATGCAAGGATTATCATTAATTAAAATCTGTTCCTGATGTTGGAAGATGGACTTGGCAGTGCGCGATATGTGGGAACGCGCAGGACTGGCCTCTGGGGTACTACGGCCTTTCTGTGCTTCACTGGTTCAGCAGCACAGAATCCCAGTTGGCACCGGCCACCTCTTGTCTATGTTGGGTAGCTGGCCTGGGGCTTCTATACAGTGTATGCTCCAACGAACTGTTCCCTAATACATCTTAGAGTGTCGTCCGATAACCTTTCTGTCAAAAACACTGTAGCAGGTTCGCTCTGTGCTGCCTTCTCTGAAAAACTCTAACTCATGGTAAACAAGTTTTGATTTTTCACGTAGCAGATAATAATAATCCTGGCATTTGATATAGTGCCTTATCACGTCTTGGAGACGCGTCAAAGCGCTTCACAGAATATATTGTAAAGTGAATACCTGTATATTTTGTGGGAGAAACATGGCAGCCAATTGTGCAATAGTAATTTGGTCCCTCAATGCACGACTATTTGTGGGACTCTGCTGTGCACAATTGGCTGCTGTATTTCACCCAGAAAATATACACTGAGTCCACTTTGTAGTATATCCTGTGAGCCGTTCTGTATCAAATGCAAGGATTTGTATTGCACAGAGTGTCATTGGCGATTGTTCCTTCACACTTGTGGCATCTTGTAGTTATTGTAGAAAAGTCGCAGGGTTGGTTATAACAGCAACAGTATGCATTTATGTAAGGCCCATCATGTGGGGTCGCATCTCAAAGCAATCACAGCGGTTATAGCTACACAATTATTCACATGTTGGGAGTATATCATACTGTGTGTGGCCCAGTCAGATAAAGGAATTTCTCAATGACACGGAGGTTTTATGATGTATGTTCAGAATGTGTAGATATATAATTCCTTCAAAATACTAAAAGTAATTTGGTCACTCAATCCACAACTGTTTGTGGGATGCTGCTGTGTGCAATTGAGTGCCATGATTTGCCCGGAATATATACAGTCAATTCACTTTGTGAAGTGCTTTGAGACATCTCAAAGACATGATAAGGCACAATTTTAAATGCAAGGATTATTATAAAAGTCTAATTCTGCTACATATTGTTGGTGGACAACAGATGAATATCGAGTAAAGGTGGATAAACGTTAGAGAGACTGAGTTGGGAGCAAGTCTTGTGAGCTTACCTCCATCCTTCCCAGTAACCTGACCAGTCACTGGGGCAGGGAGTCCTCCCACTCAGCTCCTGTTAGCCCTGCAAGCCAAAGCCCTAACAGGTTGGGTGGTCCTAGCTGGACAAGCGGCGGGAAAGCTGGCCAGACAGCAATAATGGCAAGCTGTGTGGTTTTAGCTGGTTAGACTCCAGCAGTTACCCCAACAAACACTCTGGGCTCCCCCCAAACCTTGGCTCTTGCCAACCTGCGCCTAATACTTTCCAGAATTAGGTAAGCAGGATACCTCCCTCCGGAGAGAGTGTGCACATTCCATTCCAACAATCTATCTCTGGAATTTCCATGCAAGGAATTCACAGCTTGGTTTGGAGACTCTTAAGTACGGTGATGAGTTTCCGGATGTGTGAAGACACACAGCTGACAAAAAAAATCCCATTAAGCCTTTCCAGCTGATTCCCCATCCTGATGTCTGTCCTTACACACCTTAATGGTACATTAGAAGTAATAATAATAATCCTTGCATTTGATATAGTGCCTTATCACGTCTTCGAGACGTCTCCAAGCGCTTCAGAGAATATACTATAAAGTGTAGTGACTGTATATTTTGTGAGCAAAATGCTTAAGTAATGCTTAAAGCTTGTACATGTTTCCTTATGGAGAGCTATGAAGTAAGTATGTCTTGGGGGAGGGGATAAGAAGACATCAGTTGACAAGTGTTGACGCTAATCATTTATTTATTTTCTTGCCCCAACAGAAAGTTGGAGTCACTGGCCCGCCAGACCCACAGCTCCGCTCTCCCTCTGTTATTGAGTTTGGGAAGTTTGAGATCCAGACCTGGTATTCTTCTCCATATCCCCAGGAATACACCAGGTACAGAGAAGAAAATCTTGCTATCCTTTTTATTATTGGTACTCCTGTAGCGTAGTGGTTAGAGCACCGACCTCACAATCGAGACGACCTGAGTTCGATTCCCAACAGGGCACAACTTTGGACAAGTTTCCTTACTCCATACGCCTCTGTTTACCTAGCAGTAAGTAGAAACCTGGTTGTTAGTTGATTGGCAGATTGTTTTTCCGGGGGTAATAATCCCTTCAAAAAAAATAACAGATTAATTTTTAAAAAAGTAATAATTTTGTCACTCAATCCACGACTCCTTGTGGGACACTGCTGTGCGCAATTGACTTGACGAGTTTCGCCCATAAAATACACACTCAATTCATTTTACAGTATATTCTGTGAAGTATATATTCTTGAAGACGTAATAAAGCGCTATATCAAATCCAAGTATTATTCTTATTGTTATCTTCTCCTGTGGGAATACATACCACTAGTATTTTGCCAATTTATCAAATGCAAGGATTATTATTATTGTTAACTTGCACAGTGTAAAGCATTTTATTAGCCATTTGACAATCAAAAGCAAAATCACCTCCAATGGTGACACATCAATAGCTGGAAGAAAGCCCTCTTGCCTCATAAAAAGACTGCTCACTAACCTTCATATTTTGCTGCCAACTTCAAAGTGTATGTGAGCAGTTCCATTTAAGATTATATTCACTCTCCGTCATCCATTATTGTTGGGTTACTTCTTAAACCGTCTCTACGTGTGTAAGATAATCTTCAGACTTCAGGTAGATTTCAAAAGTTCTTCTTTATTACCGCACTGCAAACAGGTTACAGTCCAGGCACACTCTTGTGGTTCGAACAAAGAATACTTGGCACACATTCCATATATAGGTATAATGCTCCAATCGCAATGCTGTAATTAAGTTTTGTGCCGACCACTCTAATACCACCCCCTTCCAGCTGTCTCTCATATCCCTAACTCCGTCTCTTCCCACTATCCTAATATGAACTTGTTATTCCGTTACTCTTTCCTGTCTTTGTTCCCCGTCCTTGAGCAGCAATCTGGTCCATTCCAGTTTAACCTACTCTATGCTGATTATAAGACCACTAGCCTGAGCAGTTTTTGTACAGGGTCACTATCAGTCATTCAGGTCAGAACTCCTGTTCTCCTTCAATCCCCCCTTTGACACTGTCAAAAACATTAAAGCAAACATAATAATTAAGCATAATACTTTCTTGTATCTTCTTCACATACACCTGAGCTCCTGGTACCAAATCGTGTCCTCCCTTTGGCGCTTCTCCCCACGCCACCGATACCTGTCGAGAAGCAGAGCTGACAGCATCAGTTAGCTTACTATAATATTCAAGCAAAGCATCGCCCATGATATGACAATCTGCCTGTCTTAAGTCAATTGTTCATTCATTCTTTCAACTTGGCCCGATTGAGGGTGGTAAGGACAGTGTCGACTCCACTTAATAATAAATAATAATCCTTGCATTTGATATAGTGCTTTTCACGTCGGGAGGACGTCCCAAAGCGCTTCACAGAACACACTGTAAAGTGAATTGACTGTATATTTGTGGGCGAACTTGATGTTAAGGCGATGTTAAGACTCCACTGGAGTCCTGTAGCTCAGTGGTTAGAGCACTCGCTTTGCAAGTGAGAGACCTGAGTTCAATTCCAGGCAGAGGGCGAAACCTTGGGCAAGTTTCCTTACTCCACACAGAGCCTAATAATAATCCCTCCAAAAAACCAAAAACAATAATTAAATTGGTCATTTTCATTCTACGACTGTTTGTGGGACATTGCTGTGCGCAATTGGCTGCCGCGTTCGCCCACAAATATACAGTCAATTCACTTTACAGTGTGTTCTGTGAAGCGCTTTGGGACGTCCTCCCGACGTGAAAAGCGCTATATCAAAATGCAAGGATTATTATTATTATTATTATTATTATTATAAGCATTCTGCAGACCTCTTGGCATACCGCTCTAGTAAAGTGCGTTCCCTGGTCTGAATCAATCGAACTTGGAAGTCCCCACCTTGGTATGTAATCTTTACACAGGATCTTTGCTGTTTGGGTCGCGGTTGCTTTGCGTACCGGGGTAGCTTCTACCCATCTGGAGAATCTGTCAACTATTACCAGTACATCAGCAAAACGTTGGCTCTTGGGTAGGGAGATATAATCAACCTGTATCTCCTGAAAGGGGCCAATAGGAGCCGGGGGTCGTAGCTGAGGCATCGCCTAATGGGACTAGGATTGATCTTTTGACACGGTACACATCTGTCCGCCACATTCTGGGCATGCTTCCTGAAATCTTTTCCCCACCAATGTCTCGCAAATCTAGCCATCTGCTGAGGGGCTAGATGTCCCCAAGAGTCGATCTGTTGGGCCAAAAATGCCATTAAAGACTGAGGAGCTACTGTTCTTTGAGTATCACGTTGTCGCCATATTCCATCTGAACCCAAATGCATTCCTTCTTCCATCCATGTCCATACCTCTTCCTTAGAACATTCAGCTTGCATCTTAGCAATTTCCGCACGTAAGCTTTTAGCTTCTAACGATCGAATCCTACAACCGTCATCATCGGGTTGAGGAGTCCTTTCTGCAGCTCTCTTGGCCGCCTCGTCCGCTTTTGCATTACCTTTAGCTTCATCCGTGTTTTCCTTCGTGTGGGCTTTGCACTTAAGTATTGCCGCCTTAGATGGTTTACTCATTGCTTCCAGTAATGCCTGTACCTCTTTTCCATTACGAATGGGTGTACCGGTCGCGGTTAGGTATCCTCTGCGTCTCCAGATGCTTCCGAAGTCGTGAGCAACTCCAAATGCATAGCTTGAGTCGGTATAAATGTTTACTGTTTCCCCTTCAGCCAGATTGCAGGCTTCGGTGAGAGCCCTTAGCTCGGCTTACTGAGCTGATGTTCCAGCCGGGAGGCAACCACTACCTTCCATACTTGTGAGGGTGGTTACTGCCCATCCTGCCTTCCGAATTCCATCCTTCACCATGGACGAGCCATCGGTGAAAAATATCAAATCTGGGTTTTCTAAGGATTCTTCTTCGGCTTTCTCTTCAAAATCCTCCAGTAACATTACACAGTCATGTATGTCCGGTATGTTTTCCAAACAGTTAAGCAAATCTACTTGATTTTCGTCCGTTAGCCCTTCCACCTTTCCTCCCACCTTATGCTCCTCAGGAATCGGGAGCATAACTGCAGGGTTAGTCGGCGTAGCTCGCACCGAACGAAGGTTGGGGGCCTCGAGTATCGCTGTCTAGCGAGTCCATCTTGCAGAAGTAACCTGTAATACCCGATTCGTGGATAGCATGGCATACACAGAGTGACGGCATTCAACCGTTAGTTCTTGGTCAAGTACCAAACTGGCTGTCAGCGTGAACGGCTCTGCAAGTTGCTTCCATCGCACGGAGGCAACTTCCCCATCTACAGGCCACTGTGTCCAATTTGGAAGAATAGTAGCCAATGGGTCGTTGTTGATCACCGTGTTCCTGAGTAAGGACTGCTATCACAAAACCGTTTGTCTCATTGACGAAGAGAGTATAAGCTTTACCCGTATCCGGAATACCGAGGGCAGGTGCCGTTGCCAATGTATCCCAGAGATTTGTAAAGGTGACCAGCTGTTCCGAATTCAACTCGATGGAGTCTTTAGAAGCTTTTCTTCCCTTCAGAATGTCATTCAGCGGTTGGGCAAATTACAAAGTCCAAGAAACGATCTGAGTTCCTGAACCATGGAGGGTACTTTAGCATTGCGAATTGCCTCAGTACGATCTTGCGTGAGTTCTCGCTTTCCTTCTGAAATCTTCTGACCCAAGTAAATAACGGAATCTTGGGAAATTTGGGCTTTGGCATAACTCGCCTTACGGCCTTTGGAGTGTAAAAAATCCAGTAACGTTTAGATCTTTGTCATGATTGTCCTCAGTTTCAGAAGCAACGAGAATATCATTGACATATTGAATGATAGTAGACGAAGTATGGGGCATTTCCCGTAAGTGGTGCTGGAGAGCCATGTGAAATATGGTTGGACTGCTGTGGAACCCCTGAGGGAGCCGCGTCCATGTATTTTGCTGCTGTATTACTGTAAAAGCAAACCAAGGTTGAATTTCTTCAGCTAGTGGCACAGACCAGAAAGCATTTGACATGTCTATCACAGAAAATTATTTATCTTCTGGTTTCAACACGTTGAATATCGTTGAGGGGTCAGCTACCAACAGGGCCTTCTGATCAATACACTTGTTGGCTTCTCGGTAATCAATCGTTAAACGCCACGAGCCATTATGTTTCTTTACCAGCCACACTGGACTGTTGGAAGAGCTGTGTATCTTGACAAGCACTCCGTGTATTTCCAGTTGCTGGATATAGAATAGGATACCTTACATTGAGTGAGGATATTGCCTTGTACATGGGGGAGCTTTTCCCGTGAATACTACTGGTTTCATAGCCAAGCGACCACAGTCCGTCTTGGCCTTCGTCCAAATTGGATGATCTTTCAGCTGCTCTTCGCTGAGTGAGCGGAATGACCATGTTAGTAATTTTCCATCATTAAAATTAAGAGAGGCATTTATTCGTGACAAAATATCCAGGCCCAATAGGGGTTGTTGAATAGGTCCCACCCGTATAGATTCAACCATTTCACGGGGTCCGAACCCGATGATGGTGGGTATCGCTTGTCGTATCACCATCCATTCGCCGCCTGCACTATAAGCTGCTCGCGTTGACCCATTAAAAGAGAGGAGAGAAGCATACTGTGACGGGAGACAAGTTAATTCAGCTCCGGTGTCAAGCAGACAGTCAATGTCCTGATGGCCCACTCTCAAGGTAACATAAAGTCTGTCTTCCCTGTGGTGCAATAACAACAACAACAAGATTCCATTTATAGAGCGCCTTTCACGTTGGGAGGATCAATCCACGCCATCAATCCACAAGGAAGAGAGAGAGCGGGGGCTCTAAGCGTTTTTTGTCGTGGCAGCCAACAGAGCTTTCTGTTGCTTAGTTGACAAGTCACCAAATTGTTGTATCATGGATCTTGGTTTATCCTCATCGTCACTCTCGTTACCGTGCTGTTCCCGACGCCTTCCAACAGTTTTACCAACCGTTTTAACACGGCATGTTTTTGCCCAGTGTCCCTCCTTGCCGCACTTGTGACAATTTCCAGGACGTCGATAAGTTGGACCGTCTCTTGGGCGTCTCTCTCCCATTTGGAATGCTCGTAATTTTGCCGCTTGATCACGGTCCACTTGATTACATCGGGTAACCAGCGCAGTGAAAGTCACTCCATCTTCTTCCCAAGTAGGCATAGTAAGTTTCACCAACTTAGCAATCTCCGTTTTCAGTCCAGCCATAAAAGCCGCTTTTAAGGGTCCATTAGCCACTTGGCCCAACGCATCTGGACCGTCGTTACCAGCCAATCCGGAATGTTCTATCCATCCAGTCCGAAATTATCATCATACTGTCGCACCGACTCGGTATTTTCCTGCTGACAAGCTGCAATTTTACTTCAATCAATTCGAGCAGGACCTTGGTTACGGAGCCAAGTTTGAATAGCCGTCCATCCTGCTTCCAATGAAGCCCCTAATGGTCCCAGAGCTGCAGTTACTTGATCTTGCAGTAATCTGGCATCCCGGCCAGTTGCCATAACTGATAATATTTGCACCCCATCTTGTGGGTGTAAGCCGTAAATAGTACGCAGACGGTTAAGCTCCTCCCAAGTCTTCAGCGCACCTTTTCGAGGGTCAGATAGCGATTTAGACCATTTGTCAATTTTCTCAGGTTCCGCCGGCACTTGCACGTGATGTCCTGCCCATCCGTCATGAGCTCTCCGCAGGGAGCACGACCTCTCCCGGCAGTGCCATACCCTGTCTTAGCTGGTATCTCGTCACTACGGGTCTTAGTTGGACTGACGGAAGAGGGGGTCCCCGTGGATTGGGGCAGCAAGTTGACGGATCCCATGGATCACACTCGTTCTTTCTATTATAAGCCGGAGGGGCTGACGCAGGCAGCAATGGTGGATACAACGAGCCACGTTTAACAGATCCTCCACCGACATTACTTCTACCAGCCGCTTTGGACCGGATCACTTCAACTTTAACCTTTTCAATCTCAGCATTTTTACTGTCTTTCTGCTTGTGTTTTGTGTAGTAGTTCTGCCATTGCAGCCAACTGCTCCTTAGCTTTATTCATTTCAGCATCGTCGCTGACTTGTTGTAATCATTGCCAATCGGGTCTGAGACTCCCCTTTTAACACGGGTCATCTTACCCCATGCTTTCTGAGTGCTTGGCAGGGCCCACTGGCCGCTGCTTATGCCATACTTTTTTTCAATGCTTTCCTGTAATTCTTGGAGCTTTAAATTGGTCTGCAAAGTCTTAGTTAGTGTTTCCAACATTTCAGTCGAGTTTATCTCGGGAGGGGCCTGCCCTCCTTTAACTGCGGTTGGTTTACTTGAACCTTCCTTTGAACCTACCATTGTGCTAAATTTTGAGCCCGTGGGCCGTTTCAATGCCGAAGAGGATATCCAAAATCTGAAAAATAGGCTACTCAATTTTTAGCAAGCTTCAGTCTCGACCTTCGCACACGATTCTTTCAAGGATCACGAGAAAATTCAAACAGCTCAAGAGGATTCCTCACCTCAAGTCACGTCTGACTTTGTTACTGGGTCTTGGGA